GGGGGGAGGCATGTTGCAGAGTGTCACTGCTGGCTCTTCTGACCTCTTTTTCCAGTGAGGTTCTAGGACCTCCCTTGCCCCGGGCTGACCACAGGTGTGGCTGTCCTAGCCTGGGCCATGGATCTTGGTGCCTGGAGACCACCTCTGTGGGCGCTTCTGAGAGGTGTGCCTGGGTAAATCGACCTGCTTGTGGTCATTGACACACACTCTAAGTCCGGCTGAGGTGGGACAGTTGCCCGCTTAATGAAGTTCGCTGCCCAGCTGAAGCGATTAAATGGACCCAGGACTCAGAGGCCAGCGGAGAAACCAGAGGAGGCATATCCCAGCCCTCAAGGGACTTCAGACCTCACTCACATGTAATAACACAATTAACAGCACAATTAAGTATTAAGCGGTGGGACTCTCCCTGGATGCTCTGGGAATTTTAAATGGGGGTTGGGACTCTTAGGCAGACTTCCTGGAGGAGGCAGACTCAGGTAGGTTCCAGTGGGGAGCCTGGAGGTGGGTCTGAGTGTGCGGCGGGAGTTCGGCGTGAGCCCGGTGAGAAATGTGGTGATTGTATGGCCCTTTACAGTGGGACGGCCTTACACCTCCGGTCGGATGCCTGCAGGACCGAACCGCAGCGACGGTGCTCGGGTATGGGTTTACCTCAAGTCAGGACCCGACAAGCGCAGCCGTGTCCCTCTTAGCTTAATCCTCACAACAACCCTGTGGTGACGGTAGCGTTATTGTCCCGTTTTACAGGTGAAGAGACTGAGGCTCTAACCGGCTCAATAAATTGCCTGAAGCCACATGGATCCAGAGGGGAGAAGGGACTGGAACTACGTGTCGGATATGGTAGCCACAGCCTGTGTGCGGTCCTGAACACTTGAAACTCGGTGAATCCCAAATGAGCTGTGCTGTGAGTGGAGAAGAATATGCTGGATTTCAAAGACTTAGGATGAGACGAACAAAAAAATACAAAGGATCTCAGTAACTCTTTTTAGTACTTATGATACTTCAGATATACTACATGAAATAAGATATAGTATTACAATTAATTTCATCTTTTTTTAATGTGGCTAGTGGAAAAAATTTTAATTACATGGGTAGCTTGTGTCTTACTTCCACATCCTGCCACGTGGCTGTTGACCTCAGCCCGGGCTCTTCCAGTGACGGTGTATTTGTGTCCTGGGGCGGCCGTAACAACATGCTACCAGTTCGGTGGCTTAAAGGACAGAAATTGCCTCACAGTTCTGGGGGCTGGAAGTTTGAGATCAAGGTGTGGGCAGGACTGGTTCCTTCTGAGACGGGGATGGAGGATCTGTCCCGGACTCTCACCGGGTTTCTGGGCTTGCTGGCCATCTCTGTGGTCTCCGGCTTCTGCTGCATCGCCCCAGTCTCTGCCTTCATCTTCTCACGGTGTCCTCCCTGTACGGGAGCCTGTGTCCAGATAGTCCTCTTCATAAGGACACGGCGTATTGCATTTAGGGCACATCCTACTCCAATATGATGTCATTTGCAAAGACCCTATTTCCAAATACAGCCACATTCTGAGGCACTAGGGGTTGGAACTTCAATCTTATGAATTTTGGGGGCACACAATTCAACGTATGGCACGCTGGGAACACCTTCCCTCTCCTGGAGCCCATGGGACAGTACATGGATCGCCCCGGTGATCTTCCGCTGGTGCCAGCCCACAGATCCGCTAAGGATTCCCCCTTCAAAGGACGTGCAAATGCCCCGTGCACCTCCGTATGGTGGCATTAGGGGCCAGGGCCATCCACATTTCTTTCTCTGGGGCCCAGGCGGGACTGGCCCCACCTTGGTTGAGACTGCATCCGATTATAACAACTGGAGAGCAGGAAGGAAAAACTGATAAGGGAGAGAAAGTTAAAAATAACCCAGGGGGGCAGTCCAGACAGCCTTGCCCTTTGCAACTTTGATTTACCATCAGCACCACTGGGAGGTCACCTGGGTCTGTGCCGGCTGTAAAAACCTCATCGGCTGACACGGCATCTGCCCAATGGCCTGGGAATTTCCAGTCCCGGGGAACTGTGACCGTAACACGGTAGGTCACTTCTCTTCTGTTGTTCTGGCGGCCCTTCAACACCTTTCTGAGCGTGGGAGGGGCTCTGGCGAGGGCTCCGTGTGCCACACTTACCTCCTCCGTCCCCGTAAGAGGACGGGGTTGGCTGAGGAGAGCTCTGCAGTCCTTCAGAGCAGACGAGTGTCTGGGGCCTGGCCCCCCCTCCACTGCTGCAGGTGTGACTGGGGAAAGTCACGGAACTTATCTGAGCCACTGTTTTCTCACTGGCAAAACAGGAATAAGAAGGGAAGCGTGCCCCACCCACCTCACTGGGTGAGGGTGAAGAGTAACGGGAGAGGAAGGACAAAGGTGGGCACCAGGCCCAATACCATTGTGGTTCCCCTCACCCGTTGAGCGTTAGGTCCACTGGGGCCCTTGCCACTCAAAGTGCGGGCTCCAGTGGGGTAGCGGCAGCATCCCCTGGGGGCTTGTCAGACATACAGACTCTCAGGTCTGCCCTGCCCCCAGACCTGCTGGGCCAGAATCTGCATCTTAGCAAGACCCCCAAGAGACATGTGTGCTCACGGAAGGTCGAAAAGCACTGTTTTCATGGACATTGTTTTTGCCTGTCCTGGGTCCATTCCCCTTCTTCTGGTAAAAGTGATCGTGTGTGGTTTGGGAGAACCATGCCCCGCCCCCTCCTCTAGCTCTCTGTGCTTCGCTGGGGCTTATCTGCCCCAGGACTGCTCAGGTGCTGAGGGGAGCAAGAAAGCCAGTCCTGGCAAATCAGAACCAACCCGGGACTTTGGCTGGAGCTGTGGGGAAAGAGGAACTCTCTTTATGTAGCCTTTCTTCAGTGGTGTGGGTGCCACCATCCCGGTCACCCCTGCAGAGAATCTAAGAATGGAGTTCTCACGGAGAGGACGAGAAGTGTGTATGTGTGTGTGTGTGTGTGTGTGTGTGTGTGTGTGTGTGTACGAGACAGAGAGAGGAAGGGTCCTGATCACATCTTTTGAGAGTCCAGCTTTGCAGACCTTTTGGGCTCCTCAGCCCACGTAATCCAACCGGCCCCCCTTTACCTAAGCCACTGTCTTACGGGTTTCCGACACTTACGAAGCGAGAGCCTTCCTTGCCAGGGTGACTCTGAACTGAGAGTCAGGCAAGACGGCGGCGGCCTGGCGGCGCCCACCCGGGGGAGGACACGAAGGGGCCCTTGCGCAGGCGAGTGGGGAGTGGCCTGACAACGGGCAGCACAATGGTGAGACACAGCAGGCTCGAGGTGCCCGCCTGTGCTCTCGCGCGGGTGGACTTCTCGTGTGTGTCCGTGTGGGGGGCTGAGTGGGGGAAGGAGCTGACGGGCTGCTGCTGCTGCTGCTGGGCGTACGCCGTGAGGGCTGTGAGAGTCCTCTGTCGTATCTGCGTGGGGCAGGTCCGGGTCCCACAGCGGCGGTGCACGCGCGGTCGGGGGCGGGGCAGGGGGTTATCTTTGCGTCTGTGGATCTGCTGTGTGTTCATTTGGTGGGCGGAAGTGAAACTGGTGGGAGGTGCGAGTTGCCTTCGGGAGCTGTTTTTCTGTAAAAAAAAAAAGCTCTGTCAGCTGTAGGGGGTCAGCCAGTGGGGAATATTGTGATCTCTGTGAGTCTGTTTTGTGCGTAGCTATTGGCTGTAGGGGTGAGTAGGGATGAGTGGTGAGCCTGTGTAAGCAGGTGAGTTATCTGCTAGGTGAATGAGTCCACAGGTGTGTCGTGCCCCGTAGGTTGGTGGGGCATGTCCCACGGTGATGTGACAGGAAGGAGGGTGTCCAGTGTGAGCCCATTCAACGGATGGGCAAAGTGTGACCATCCAGGGTCAGGACATGCATGCAGCCAGTGCTCATTACTGCCCCAGGGCAGAAGTTCTATCCTGGGGCTCAAACCATCCTCAATTAACTCCCTGGCAATACCTCGGCCCGGAGGAGCTGTCTGCACCCCTTTGGGATCCCCCCCCACCCCGACCCCAGCTAAGGAAGCTGCAAACTGCTTGGTGGCACAAAGCCCCTGGGTCACATCTACCACTTTTTTTTAAAGAAGGAAATTTGCTGGTGACACTTGCATTTTCTGCTTCCAGACGGTGGCTTCCATATCAGCTGTGCCTTTGCGCCAAGGCTTGTGCCTGGAGCACCTGACGAGTCCCTTGGCATTATTGTCCTGCATCTGGGGGATGTTGGAGTGACAGAGCCCTGGCCCCATTGTGAAAGCGGGGGTGGGGGAGGAATGCCTGCGCCTTTGGGGAGGGTGAGGGGAGGCAAGGCAGAGGGGAGGCAGGAGGGGGCAGGGGAGGGAGGAAAGGGGAGGCTGGAGATCAAGAGGGGCAAGCCAAGAGGGGCTTTCTGTCCAGAAACAGGGCAACCTGGCCAGTGACGAGGCCCAGGGAGCGGCTGACACCAGGAGCTGGAAGTGATGCACGCTGGGTCCGGGGGAGGAAGGGAGGAACCAGAGCCTCTGGATAGGGTCTCTGTACTCTGTCACAGCCACCGCAGGAGAGCGCAGGGGAGGGGGCTTCCTCTGTCACCCACCTCCCTTACTGGACTCCTAGGTCTTCTCACCTGAGTGGGAATTGTGGTGCGAGAACTAGAAGTGACTAACTGGGCCTTACCAGGCTTCAGCCCCACCTCCTCAGGATTCCTCCATCCTCAGCCAGAGGAGGACCCCAGCAAAGAAGGGTCCCCGCCTCCTGCCCATGCAGGGAGGGCTGCCTGACACCTGGGGAGGGCGTGCTCCCCGGGTCTTACCTGGATTCCAGCCACACCTCCTAAAACACAAACCCCAACCGTGGCAGACAGGTACCTGGATTCCAGCCACACCTCCTAAAACACAAACCCCAACCGTGGCAGACAGGGCTGCCTCCCGCGACGCAGCGGGGGAGCGGTGCCAAATGACTTTCTCCTCCTGAGTTCCGTGGAGGGAAGCTGCGAGGAAATAAATTTCCTCCCAATGTGCTGTGGATCGACTCCAGCAAGCTTCCCAACGGCCCATAAAATAATAGTAACATTTATTGGGTACTTGCTTTGTGCCAGGTGCTATTAAGAAGATCTTGAAGAGAGAACCTATTAGCAGCTCCATTTGTGAGAGAAGAGAGCGTAGGTGATTCTGCCAACCTCGTGGGCACCAGGAGATCCCGGTGCCCAGGACTGGAGCCCAGGCAGCCTGACCACCAGGGCCCTGGTCCTTAACCACCCGATAACCTTGCTTTTTAAGAACAGGTAAGTCAGTGAAATGCAGTGAGGAGGGGACCGCAGAGCATGCCGAAGGCTCCCATGCGTGTTTTTTCCTCCCGTGTGCACACTCGTTCTCTCCTCAGGGTCTTGGCTCGGCTGCACCCTCTGCTAGAAAAGTCTTCCTCCCGATCTTCACACGCTGGCCCTTCTCATCACCCGGCTGCAGCCCAGATGCCTTCCCCTCGGAGAAGGTGCCTGATGCTCTGGCGTGCCATTTCAGTTGAGTTCCATCACCCCTGTCACCTTTCCGACACCGGGAGCCTAGCCTGCTTATCCACTTGCCCCCGTTGTTCATGGTCTGTCCGGTGAAGGCTGGGGCTGTGTGTGTGCTGCTCACGGAGTCCCAGGGCCCGGCACGGTGCCTGGCGCCGAGAAGGCTGAGAAGATGAGGACCAGGAGGGTCACCGAGGGCAGCAGGTGAGTGGAGGAGCAAGCCATCCTGTGTGTTGTAGAAACACACCCAGCCGGCGAGGCTGGGGTTCTCCAGGGGGGGCTCGGGGAGCAGCCAGACCAGACGAGGGGGCTCGGCAGTACAGTTCTCAAAAGCCAGCATTCGGGGCATCTCTGCCCCTGCCCGTCAAACCTCTGGGGCGTGCAGAGCCCTTTACACTCCTCACGAGACTTGTAGGCTCATACAACAGCAAAGGAAGCACTTTTTAATATGGGGTTTCGGGTATTCAATCCTAAGTGTATACGTTTTAGTTTCTAGTCTGGAGACAAGACAAAGGAAGACATTCCCCTCCCGCCTTGGGTGGCCCAGAGCCACAACACAGAGTGGCCCTTTATTTCCCTTCCTTATCTCAGCCAGACATCTCTAGAGTCCTGTCCCTGGTGGCAGCAGGGTCGTCAACGGTGCAGTCTGCCGACCATGACGGGACCCAGCTCTGTGCTTTACGTCACAGTGAGTAAGGTCACAGGAGGTGCGTGGGGTCTCGAGGGTCACACATCTCAGACTGCCCCTCCCGTCCACTGTCCCAGGTGGATATGGGCACGGCCACTCCCCAGCCCTCCCTCAAGCACGGTGATACTCTCCCCAGGGCACATGGGGCCACTCCTCCCTCCCCGGGCCTGTTTACGTTCTATAGCAGGGGATAAGATAAGAAGGGTCGGTCCGAAGTTCGCGTCCAACTATAGGGAGCTGGGTAGGCAAACCAGAAACCATCTGGACTGGGGTTTCTTAAGCTCAGCATGACTGACGTGTTGTGGGGGGCAGTCCTGCACTGCAGGATTTTCAGCAGCACCCCTGGCCTCCACCCACCGAATGCCAACAGCACCTGCCACCCCATCGTGACGGCCAAAAATGTCTCCGGACATTGCCTATTATTTGCTAAAAACCACTTCCATTGGCCTATACAATGGAATTCTATGCACAAATAATACTAATGACAAATAATACTATCATAAAAGTAATCGTAATGAACACTTATGAGGGGACGCTATGTACCAAGCACAGTTCCGAGCTTTACACATAATTTCTTTAATCCTCACAGCATCCCCATTTTACAAATGAGGAAATTGAGGCACAGAGAGTTTAGTTAACTTAGTCAAGGTCACACAGCCTGTTAGAGGCTCATGACATATTATTAAGAGAAAAGAGATAAGAAAATAGTATATGTAGTATAATTTCTTTTTTGTTGTTGTTTAAAAACCCATGCATGTACCCCTCCATACACACACACACACACACACACACACACACTCACACGTATATATGCATCACAAAATATATGTGTTAACTGTGGTTCTTTCTAGGTCATGAGATTGCAGATGAATTTTATTTTAGTTTTGTATCTCTGTAGTTTCAGATGTGCAACTGTATTTATATATAAGTACTGTACATATTTATATATAAATAATATATACATTTTATGTTAACATTTATATGTTATATATTTAATATATTATTTGTGTAACAAGAAAGAAACATGATCTCATCCCCAGTCTTGGAGCTGAGGTATCTTCAGCCCCATTCAAGTTCAGGGCGACAGGTAGGGATGTCCTACGCAGCACTCAGGGTTCCGGGTGTTTCTGGGGTCTTATCTGGAGTTTCCGGTAAGAATGGACTTCACTGGAGACCAGGGGAAAACCTTTCCAGAAGCCCCTGGGAAGCCTAAACTTTTTGGCTCTTTCCAGATGGTGGTGAGGTGAGGACACTTTGCCCGATGATTGGTATACGGGGTCTACGTAGTAGCACAAACCTGGCTGAGCTGCCCCTCAAGACCTGTCCTGGTCCTGGCTGGTGTGGCTCAGTGGTTTGAGCGCCGGCCTTCGAACCAGGGGGTCGCCAGTTTGATTCCCAGTCAGGGCACATGCCTGGGTTGCAGGCCGGGTCCCCAGTGGGGGGCACATGGGACGCAGCTACACATTGATGTTTCTCCCCCTCTCTTTCTCCCTTCCTTTCTGTCTCTCAAAAAAAAAAAAAAAAAAAAAAGACCAGTCCTGTCGTGCGGAGAATGAAGAGGACCAGCACGGCCCCAGCCGGGCAGGGCTGGGGGCCGGAGCAAACAGGCAGCTACACAATAACGTGAGCCTGATCCTTTTCAAAACAATTTTAAATAACCCCCAGTGCGAACATTTCATGAGTAAACGATGTTAAAAATAGCCTATCTGATTATTTCGAACATACCCAAACCAGCCCTCGTTTCTAAGGGGAGTCCTGAAATGTAAAACAGTTCTTTTTAAAGCAAGAAAAGTCCGAGAACGCTAACAGCAGGACAGAGGCTGAAGCAGAAAACCCCGGCTGAGCCCCACTCCCCTCACCCCGGCCCTCCCCTCACGGCCCAGTTTCTCAGCCTTAAACGGAGGTTTGTGCTGATGTGGGCGCTGGGGATGGTGCTGGAGGAGGGTGTGGGGGCGTCCGAAGCCCAGTTCCTGGCAGAGAGCCGGCGCTCAATGGCCGGTAACTGTCATTACCGCAGGACGGTGGCCTTGCGCTCACTTGTTCCCCTTTGTGCTCTGGCCAGTTGACTACAGGCGCATTCATTTTAGAATCAGAAAAAAAGAAAAAAAAAGGCAAGAAATAAAGAAAGGTGAGAACCGATAGGAGTTGAGTGATCTCAGGGAGCAAAGGGCAGAGAAACAGATGCTCTTTAGATACACAGCTATGGGGTCTGGAATTTAACCTGCAGTTAAGGAGGCTGAGAGAGGCAGGTGGGCGCACCCACCGGTTTCCTTACCGAGAATTTCCTGCCTTTGAGCCCACCCACCTGTCCGCAGTTGACAGATGGAGGGGAACCCCAGGGTCACAAGCCCCTCCACACACACGCCCACTCCTGGTGAGCAGAACTGCAGAGAGGACCGGGGCTGGGGTTTACGGGAGCTCGTGCAGCAGCCTCCCCCTCACAGCTCCCCTCGGGGGCTGTGCCCAGAGGCCCTGGGCTGGGGCCTCTGGTACCCAGGTGATGTCGGGTAAGGAACAAAGGTCAAAGACCACGAATCTGTGTTTTGTTCCACGTGTCTGTTTCACCTCCCTGCCCTTTCTTTGTTTCTTTTTCTTTTTTTGGTTGTAAATATTTTTAAAGTCACTCCTTTAGATAAACTAGGCTTCATCTAAATTTTAAACTTTGTGTATAATGAGACACTATCAACAGAGTAAAAAAGCAACCTACAGAAGTAAAGGACATATTTACAATTTATATCTCTGATAAGGGGTTGATATACAATATATAAAGAACTCCTAAAACTCAACATCAACAAAACAAACAACCCAATTCAAAAATGGGCAAAAGACTCGAACAGACATTTCTCCAAGGAAGACACACCAATGAACAATAAGCACCAGGAAAGATGCTCAGTATCACTGTTCCTCAGGGAAATGCCAATCAAAACCACAATGAGATACCACCTCACTCCCAGGATGATAGCTGTCATCAAAAAGGCAGGAGGCAACAAGTGTTGGCAGGTGTGTGGAAAATTGGAACCCTGTGCATTTCCCTGTGTGGGAAAGCAAGTAGGTGCAGCCTCTATGGAAAACAGTATGGAGGTTTCTCCAAAGATTAAACATTGAATTATCATATAATCCAGGAGTTTCCATTTCTGAGTACATACAGAAAAGGTTGGGAAGCAGGCACTTGAGCAGACAGCTGTGCACTCATGCTACAGCAGCGTTATTCAGTGGGCCGGGCAGAAACAGCTCCAGTGTCCACTGACAGGCGACTAGGGGAACAGAGTCACTCTATACATGCAATGCAGTAATAATCTCCCTTTTGAAGAAGTGAGATTGATGCACATTACAGTGTTGAGAAACCTGGAAGACAGTATGCTAAGTGAAATAAGCCAGACCAAAAAGGACAATCAGGATTCCATTTACAAGAGATACCTGGAACAGACAAACTCTTAGAGATGGTAGAACAGTGGTTACCAGTGGCTGGAGGGGGGAGGGGGGGCGTTATTGTTTAATGTGCATAGAGTTTCAGTTTGGGATGATGAGAAAGTTCTGGAGATGGATAGTAGTCATGGTTATACAACGATGTGAATGTACTTAATGCCACTGAATGGTACACTTAAAATGGGTAAGGTAACATAAGTAAATTCCATGTAATATGTATTTTAGCACAATGCAAAATTTAATGCCAGGACCATTCACCATCTCCTAGTGCAGAGAGCATCTCCCTCATTCTGCAGGGAAACAAAATGAGGCTCAGAGAGGTGGAGGGGAAAGGCGCTCCTTTAAAACCACTTGATAACAGAAGTATAACAAGTATTCTTGAATTTCAACATTACAGATAAAGCGAAACCCCCTTCAGGCCACCCTCCTTAACCACATCCCCTCCCAGGGGGTAACCCCAGCAAAATCATTTGGTGTGAACTCTTGTAGGTCTTTTTTTAGATTTACAGAAATGGAACCATTCCGTGTGAATTTTGCAACTTGGCCTTTACGCTTACTTACTGCCATTTCTTGGGGATCTTTCCCTGTCAGTTCATAGGGCTCCCTCATCCTTCGACGCTGCCGGGAATTAGGGCCCAGTGTGTGATAAACATTCCCCTACTGTTGGCCACTGGGGCTGTTTTCAGGTATTTGGGTATTTACACCATGCAGCATAAATTCCTCTTTGTGCACGTGTAGAAGTGTTTCTTTAGGGAATAATTATTACTTACTTATTAAGATTTCAAGCATACATAAATGAAAACCAATAAAATGGTTGACATTTATTGTTACTCAGGGAATGCTGAATATTTTCCATCATCATCTCACACGTTGTTTCTCCCCCAATTCAACCCTGTGAGAAAGTCCGGTCACTATCCTCACAAATGACCGAAAGGCCCAGAAAACTCAAGTCACTTGCCCTGAAATCACAGAGCTCACGAAAGAGCCCTGGTCTCACCATGCACAACATCTTGGTCTGTGGTCCCCTCCAGACCAAGTCTTGGGCCTTTCTTGCTGGGTCCCCTCATCTAACGTAGGTCTGGAATGTCACGGGCACTAGCAAGTGTCCTTTGAATGCTGTGGAGCACATGAGGGAGCGGATGGGGGTGTGGAAGCTTACGGCAGCTCTTGGCGCTCTGTGCCAGCATGTGCCCGCCCCCCCGTCCCTTCACCTGCGCCGGTATACCTGCTGCCCCTGCCCTGGGCCCCATCAGGAAGGGGAGTCGGGTTCTACCAGTCGCTCTAATCTCATCTCAGCTGCCCCACAGCATGTCCCTCAACTTCACCCTCTGGAAGGGCGACCTCTCCACCGGACCCCGGACTCCCCTGCCTTGATATGCTCCCTGTCCCCAGACCCCTGACCAGGCACACTGCACCTTCAACACTCAGCCTAGCCCAGGGACTCCCAGGGGCTTTATCCTTCTCCATTATATACTTACTTTCTTTTTAAAAGTTTGAAAATACTGCCCTATAAGTGTTCAGTTCAGATGAAGAGGCCGAGGGCAAAGAGGTCGCGTGCCTTG